TAATGGTAATGTCAGAAAGGTTGAAGTCAAAGTGACAAAACAAGGGACTGCTAAAGTGTATACTAGACCAGTTTCAGATGTCATTGTTCTCCTTTGAATAGCATTTCTGTTGTGTAGCTGGCACAATACATAGCAGAGAGCTCCTCACTGATAGCGTTCAGGCGAGACATTTGCCATTGAGTTAAATTCCATCCTGTGGATTACAATTGGGGTTGGAGATAGTTTGGCCTTGGGCGGCTACTCCAATCCGAAGATGGGTTTATGGACTAAACTATTTCTTCATGTGGGCCATAAGCTTGAAGTACCATAACCAAAAGACACTGATATGTTGTGGACTCATGTTTTAGTTTATGTTACCAATCTAGGCCGGAATGTATTTTCTTATGTGTTTTCCCTTTACAGTAGATATGCATGGGTAGTGATATATAATATATTATATCAGGCAGGGAGTGTGTTGCCTTCACAGGCTAATTGAATTATAGTTACTTATATGGGACATGTAGTGAACCACTGCCATCTAGTGGCAAACATGTATGGCAGTTCTCCTCTGGATATGTAAGCTCTCAGACAGGAAATGACTCTTGGTTTAGGAAGCTCGTCAGCCATTTTAGACTTCTATTAACTGTGGATGCAGTGTGCTTGCTTCTCTCCCAAGGGGCTTGAGACATCATCACCTGTAAGTGCCTTTCTTCTGTGTCATCTGTCATTTATGTTACACTAGTTATTCTATGTATACTGATATGCTGTTATTGTATTGTGTTTCAGTTTCACCTATAAAATAAAGTTGGATTCTTTGGTAGACAACACAAGCAGTGGGCTTCTGTTTGCTGGAGATTCTGACAAGGGTTTAGCTGTCCGTTTAGAGACACACATAGTCAGTGTTTTTTGAGAACGGAACAGTGGCAAATCCTTTGTTGGCAATCACAGAGGTCAGATGTTTCCTGTAGTTGGCCACCAGGTTTGCATACATCTCAGGAGGGATTTTAGCCCACTCCTCTTGGCCGATCCTCTCCAAGTCATTAAGGTTTGGTGGCTGACGTTTGGCAACTTGAACTTTCAACTCCCTCCACATATTTTCAATCGGATTAAGGTCTGGAGACCGGCTAGGTCACTAAGGCTAGACCTTAATGTGCTGCTTCTTGAGCCACTCCTTTGTTGCCTTGGCCATGTGTTTTGGGTCATTGTCATGCTAGAACACCCATCCACGATCCATTTTCAATGCCCTGGGTGAGGGAAAAAAAGGTTCTCACTCAAGATTTCACAGTACATTGCCCCGTCCATCGTCCCTTTGATGCAGTGCAGTTGTCCTGTCCCCTTAGTAGAAAAACACCCCCAAATTTTTCCACCACCATATTTGACAGTTGGGATGGTTTTCTTGGGGCCGTAGGCAGAATTTCTCCTCCTCCAAACACAGTGAGTTGAGTTGATGCCAAAGAGCTCAATCTTGGTCTTATCTGACCACAACACTTTCAACCAGTCCTCCTCTGCATCATTCAGATGTTCAGTGGCAAACTTCAGATGGGCCTGGACATGTGCTTTCTTGAGCAGAGGGCCTTGCGGGCACTGCAGGATTTCAATCCTTGTTGGCATAGTGTGTAACCAATTGTTTTCTTGGTGATTGTGGTCCCAGCTGCCTGGAAATCATTGACAAGATCCTCACATGTAGTTCTGGGCTGATTCCTCACTGTTCTCATGATCATTGACACTCCATGAGGTGAGAACTTGCATGGTGCACCAGACCTAGGGAGACTGAAAGTTGTTTTGTGTTTCTTCCATTTGCGAATGATTGCACCAACTGTTGTCACCTTCTCACTAAGCTGTTTGGCGATAGTTTGGTAGCCCATTCCAGCCTTGTGTAGGTCTACAATCTTGTCCCTGACATCCTTGGACAGCTCTTTGGTCTTTGCCATGGTGGAGAGTTTGGAATTGGATTGTTTGATTGCTCCTGTGGACAGGTGTCTTTTAGACAGGTAACAAAATGAGATTAGCAGCACTCCCTTTAAGAGACTTCTTCTAATCTCAGCTTGTTACCTGTATGAAAGACACAAGGTAGCCAGAAATCCTGCTGAATAACAGGGGATAAAATACTTATTTCCCTCATGAACAAGCAAATCAGTGCATAATTTGTTAGACATGCATTTCTTTTGAATTTTTGTTGCTATTCTGTCTCTCAGTGTTACAATATACCTACCATTCGATTTTTAGACTGATCATTTCTTTGTAAGTGGGCAAACATTCAAAATCAGCAGGGGATCAAATACTTTTTTCCTTCACTGTAAATGCATAAAGCACACAATTTAAGATTCCCGCTCTCCACATCCAGCTAGAGACAGGATGACAAAGACAGCCGACACGTTTTGGAGACCCAGTTTCTTTCCTCAGAGCTATAGCATTTATATGCCTTTAGCTCACTTGGCTTGTGAGTATACCAATTGTCTATTATATCCTTAAGAAAGTGTCAATGATAATGCGCTAGGCATTTGCATCCTCTCTGTTTTTTGTGTTTTGTACAGTGTTGGACTTCCCCAATCTGAGGATGCTGCACTGCCACTTCTTTCCAGTCGGGGTTGTGAAAAGTCTACATGACAATTGGTTTTTGCGATAAGTACCACTACTGTTTTCTGAGCACTGAAGTGTCAAGTTTGACTTTTTTTTTCTTAAATAACTTACAGGAGAATATGTAAAGCATTTTTAATACAATTTTAAATGGAAACAAATTTAGCAAGCTAAGATAAACTGTAGTGCATGAAATATATATCTATTATAGTCTTTCTAAGTTGGGTAAAACCAAGCCCATCTAAATTATTTTTATAAAAGCATCTTTTGCTTACAGTATATGTTAAAACATGTGAGTCCTTCATTAACAGAAATATTAGCCAATGTGTTAAAATTATATATAATAGTAATCCCTTTCTTTTATCTTTTCAAACTAGTGCCAAAGTGATGGATTACCCTACTAGGAAATGTGATACTATACTCTATATTTTTCTGTTTCTAGGCCAAAAGCAAATACTGTGAAGGTCAGGTGTTGAATACTAGTACTATAATTCAAATCATGCCTTGTGAGGCATCAAATTACATCAACTCTAGTGATATTAGAGCGAGCCCGAAGGTGGAACAGACATTTTCATTCTTTGCTGTGGAAAAAAAAAAGATTCTCATCTGACTATCACAGAGGACATAAAAAATGTACAGATCAGATATTAAAATGTCTTGGTTATAACTTCCAAGATGAATTACTGATAACAAGAATAATAGAGCAGTAAAGAAAACATCAAATTTCTAACAACAAATTCTTCTTCTTGCTGTTTTCTTTCTTCAACTTTGTTTTGAAGTCTTAAGTATGAAAGAATGAAATGGCAGCAGGCAATACTACACTTTTCTTGAAATATTGCATGTCATGAAACTGAAACCATGGACAAAATTATAAATTACAAAGCTGTAAAATATACAAAGTACAAGAGGGTAACATCTATTGAGCTGATAGGAAAAAGTAGATTTGGGTGCTATTTTTAAAGAGATGATGCACTGACTGCAAAGACAATATTCATAGACCAGGAAATAAGAGATGAATAGAGACAAAAATACATTTATATTTAACTATATAGTGCCCACACAGTATATGAAGATTATTGCACAAAATTGACATAGTCAGAAATATCGTTGTATTAAAGTAGATGTGAGTCCTAACTAAAACTGCTCTACGTATCATAAACAATTGTCTTTTTTTTGTCTTTTTTTTTCCTTTTTTCAACCTGTGTTAAATCTCAGTGCTACTGATCTCCAGAAGCCATGTTCTGCTAACATGCATACAATCCAGTAATAGCTGCAAGGCATTTCTCAGAGCAGGTTTACAGTATTGATGATAGCAATGGTGGACAACACCTGCATAATGTTTCTTGAAATAGCAACTTGTATTCTTCAATGGAAGTCTCTTTGACAGGATAACAACACAAGATCACAACTGGGGCAGATAGAGCATTGTTACCCTATGGCAGAAAGTGCCCTTACAATTACCTTCAAGTATTATTTCAGTAAACACTACAGATTTAAAAAATATTGAAAAGCACACATAGATGTAATTTTACAAATTGGTAATGCACTGCTAACATTGCTATTTTTAATAAATGTTATTGAGTATTACATCTTAACTTCAGGCCAGTTTGTTACTAAAAATTTCCACTTAGAAAAATAGATCATCTAATGTAGAACAGCAACACGCTAGTTTTAATAAAAGCTAAAGTTCCATACACTAATGTAAATATTTGTAAATGGTTTCAAAATACTGTACACTTCATACAGGAAAAAGTTCCACCCTAATTATTAATAGCTGTAATTAGTAACTGTACTTAGTAAGAGTTTAAGGTAATTGTAACCATGTCCATAGAATAGTGCCTGGATATCACACACTCATTTAGAATATTCAAGCTAGTTCATATCTATAAAAAAAATCTATACTGTATATATATATATATATATATATAAATATATATAATAAATACTTTATTGCCAAAAGTATTGGGACTCCCCTCCAAATCATTGGATTCAGGTATTCCAGTCATCTCTATGGTCACAGGTGTATAAAATCAAATACCTAGGCATGCAGACTGCATCTACAAACATTTGTGAAAGAATAGGTTGCTCTCAAGAGCTCAGTGAATTCAAACGTGGTACCATGATAGGTTGCCACCTGTGCAATACGTCCATCCATTACATTTTCTTGCTACTAAATATTCCAAAGTCAACTGTTAGTGGTATTATAACAATTTTAATGCAACTGGGAACAACAGCAACTCAGCCACAAAGTGGTAGACCACATAAAATGGCACAGCAGAGTCTGCCCAATGTGCAGAAGTCACCAACTGTCTACAGAGTCAATGGCTAAAGACCTCCAAACTTCATGTGGCCTTCAGATTAGCACAGCAATAGAGAGCTTCATGGAATGGGTTTCCATTGCTGAGCAGCTGCATCCAAGCCTTATATCACCAAGTGCACTGCAAAGCATTGGATGCAGTGATGTAAAACACACCGCCACTGGATCTGGAGTGAAAAATCACTCTTGTCTGTCAATCTGATGGACGTGTCTGGGTTTGGCAGTTGCCAGGAAAACAGTACTTGTTTTTCAGGGGTTGGGCTTGGCCCTTTAGTTCCAGTGAAGCATACCAAGACATTTTGGACAATTGGAACAGGACAATTTTTACTCCCGGCTTTGTGGGAACAGTTTGGATATGGCCCCTTCCTGTTCAAACCAGTGCACAAAGCAAGGTCCATAAAGACATGGATGAGTGAGTTTGGGGTGGGGGAACTTGACTGGTATACATAGAGTCCTGACCTCAACCCGATAGAACACCTTTGGGATGAATTAGAGCGGAGACTTTGAGACAGGCCTTCTTGTCCGACATCAGTGCCTGACCTCACAAATGCGCTTCTGGAAGAATGGTCAAATATTCCCATAGACACACTCCTAAATTTTGTGGACAGCCTTCCGAGAAGAGTTGAAGCTGTTATAGCTACAAAGGGTGGGCCAATTCAATATTGAACCGTACAGACTAAGACTGGGATGCCATTAAAGTTCATGTGCGTGCAAATGTGATACAATCAAGTATTTTCAAGCTTACAAATCTCTTGGTCCAATATGATTAGATTGCCATACATTTAACTTATGACTCTTCTTTATTGGGATGAACAGTCAAAGATATGACCCTCACTCCCCCTCTCTGTTGGGGTCCCTCAAGACTTCGTCCTCGGGCCCCTTCTCTTCTCCATCTACACCTCCTCCCTTGGCCAACTCATACACTCTCATGGCTTCAACTACCACCTATATGCCGACGACACACAAATCTATCTTTCAAACCCCCCACCTCACCCCCTCAGTCTCCGCCCGAATCACACACCTACTGAGCGATATATCAGACTGGATGTCGCTCCACTTCCTTAAACTGAACCTCTCCAAAACCGAGTTTCTTGTCTTCCCCCCAGCCCGGACCCCACCCCCCATTGACTTCTCCATCATGTCCAACAACGCCACCATCAATCCTGCCCCGCAGGCCAGAGTGCTTGTTGTAATTCTGGACTCCAACCTATCCTTTCAGCCCCAAGTCCAATCTCTAACAAACTCATGCAGACTCCACCTCCGCAACATCGCCAAAATACGCACGTTCCTAAGCCCAGAAACCACTAAACAGCTCATCCACTCCCTCATCATATCACGACTCGATTACTGCAACTCCCTCCTTACTGGCCCGCCTCGCCGCTGGCTATCCCCGCTTCAGTCGATCCTGAATACGGCTGTCAGACTCATTCACCTTTCCAACCGCTCCGTTTCTGCCACCCCCTCTCTGCCAATCCCTCCACTGGCTTCCGATTGCACAACGGATCAAATTCAAAATCCTAACACTGACGTACAAAGCCATGCACCATACTGCCCCGAACTACATCACCGACCTAATATCCAAGTACCACCCAGCACGCATACTCTGCTCTTCACAAGACCTCCTTCTCTCTAGTTCCCTGGTCTCCTTCTCCCATGCCCACCTGCAGGACTTCTCCAGGGTGTCACCCATCCTCTGGAACCCCCTGCCCCAACCCATCAGATTATCACCTACACTCCTCTCCTTTAGGCGCACCCTGAAAACCCACCTCTTCAGGGAAGCCTACCCCACCCCCTGCTAACTTGCGGACCTCCTCCACTCTTCCTACCACTCCATCCCCCACAGCTATCTCCTCCTGTGCCACCATCCCCTCCCTCCTAGATTGTAAGCTCGAAAGAGCAGGGCCCTCGATCCCCTCATGTTTTGCATTGTATTGTTATTGTTCTGTCACATGTTCTGTCCCCCTTTGTAATGTACAGTGCTGAGCGAACTATTGGCGCTTTATAAATACTGTATAATAATAATAATATAATAACCCAATTTAGCGATCTTACAGTGCATCCAGAAAGTATTCACAGCGCTTAACTTTTGCCACATTTTGTTATGTTACTGCCTTATTACAAAATGGATTAAATACATTTTTTCCTCAACATTCTGCAAGCAATACCCCATAATGACAATGTGAAAGAAGTTTTGTTTTGAAATCTTTGCAATTTATTAAAAAAAAACAAAAAAAAAAACAAATGTACATAAGTATTCACAGCCTTTGCCATGAAACTCAAAATTGAGCTCTAGTTCATCATGTTCCCACTGATCATCCTTGAGATGTTTTCACAACTTGATTGGAGTCCACCTGTGGGAAATTCAGTTGATTGGACATGATTAGGAAAGGTATAAACCTGTCTATATAAGGTCCTACAGTTAACAGTGCATGTCATAGCACAAACCAAGCCATGAAGTCCAAGGAATTGTCTGTAGATCTCTGAGACAAGATTTTATTAAGTCACAGATCTAGGGAAGGGTACAGAAAGTGGCCTCTATAATCCGTAAATGGAAGAAGTTTGAAACCACTAGGAAGCTTCCTTGAACAGGCCTCCCGGCCAAAATGTGTGATCGAGGGAGAAGGTCCTTAGCCAGGGAGGTAACCAAGCACCCAATGGTCACTCGGAAAAAGCTCCAGCATTTCTCTGTGGAGAGAAGAAAACCTTCCAGAAGAATAACCATCTCTGCAGCACTCCACCAATCAGGCCTGTGTGGTAGAGTGGGCAGACAGAAGCCACTCCTCAGTAAAAGGCAAATGGCAGCTCACCTGGAGTTTTTCAAAGGCACCTGAGGGACTCTCAGACCATGAGAAACAAAACTCTCTGGTCTGATGAAACAAAGATTGAACACTTTGGCCTGAATGCCAAGCGTCATGTCTGAAGGAAACCAGGCACCGCTCACCACCTGGACAATACCATTCCTACAGTGAAGCATGGTGGTGGCAGCAAAAATGCTGGGGATGTTTTTTAGTGGCAGGAACTGGGAGACTAGTCAGGATTGAAGGAAAGATGAATGCAGCAATGTACAGACACATCCTTGATGAAATCTGTTCCAGAGCACTGGACTGGGGCAATGGTTCATCTTTCAACAGGACAACAACCCTAAGCACACAGCCCACATAACAAAGGAGTGGCAACTCTGTGAATGCCCTGAAGTGGCTCAGCCAGAGCCCAGATTTGCACCCGATTGAACATCTCTGGAGAGATCTGAAAATGGCTGTGCACCGACACTCCCCATCCAACCTGATGAAGCTTGAGAGGTACTGCAAAGAAGAATGGGAGAAATTGCCCAAAAATAGGTGTGCCAAGCTTTTAGCATCATATTCAAAATGACTTGAGACTGTAATTGGTGCTAAAGGTGCTTCAATAAAGTATTGAGCAAAGGAAGTGAATACGTATGTACATGTGTTTTTTTTCCTTTTTGTATTTAATATAAATTGCAAAGATTTCAAAACAAACTTCTTTCACATTGTTGTTATGGGGTATTGTTTGTTGAATGTTGAGGGAAAAAATAATTTAATCCATTTTGGAATAAGGCTGTAACATAACAAAATGTGGCAAAAGTTAAGCACTGTAAATACTTTCTGGATGCACTGTAGATTAGGCACCTCAGATTATTTTTTTGTATTATCTACAGTGAAAACAGATAGGCATGCTTACTTTTGTTCAGTGTGAATATATATATATATATATATATATATATATATATATATATTCAAAAAAATATATAAACATATACTTTGGTAGGGTGGCACATACAGGAACAATCACGTACATGTACGTCATTGTGCCTGTGCAAGCTAAGAGGAGCACTGCGCACCCTCCCTGCAACCACTATGTCCACCAGACACAGCGAATTTTAGATCCCAGTACTTGGGGCCATGTGATCGCATGTTATTCACAATAGTGTTACCTATGCTGTGTTTGGCCCCGCAGCTATCACATGGTACTTGGACCAATCACAGAATGCTGTACCATGTAATTAGTTGTAGCCAATAACAGATCACTAGTGATCACAGATGTTCTGAATGCCTAACTCATTCATGACAGTTTAAAACGTTGCTGTTATAATCATCTTCATTTTAACAGCAAAGTGTAAAAACAAAATCCCTGATCACCCCCTCAGAGTGGTGACAATAAGCTACTCTGGTGAAAGCACTTAAAATAAATAGTAAAACATTTTTAAAATGCTAAAAAAAATTAAGAAAGTTTAAAAATTTAATAAAAAATATTTTAAAAATGTTTTTCACTTTTTTTTTACATATTGCCACCAGTCAGTGTCCCTGATTCATAATAAGATGCTGTATTGCACTGTCCCTGATTCATATTATGCTGTGTACTGCACTGGTGACAATATGTAAAAAAAGTAAATTGTGACAAAAAAAACTACATCTTCAAAAAACTCCCCATGCCTCATGCTAAATGCCTCAGACTCTACTTTTCAAAAAGGGGTCATTTGGGGGGAATTTGTATTGTCCTGGCATTTTAGAGCCTCAAGAAATAAGTACATCAGTATTGATCAATTATCAAATATACTGTATAAAGCAGGGGTGGGCAAACTTTTTGACTTGAGGGCCGCAATGGGTTCATATATTGGACCCGGGGGCCGGACCAAGAGTAGATGAATTATGTGTATGTGTCATCCATAGTAAGTATAGTAATATTCCCCCATAGTAAGCATAGTAATTAATCCCCCATATAGTAATTAATCCCCCATAGAGTAATTCATCCCCCATATAGTAATTCATCCCCCATAGTAATTCATCCCCCATATAGTAATTCATCCCCCATAGTAATTCATCCCCCCTATAGTAATTCATCCCCCATAGTAATTCATCCCCCATATAGTAATTCATCCCCCATATAGTAATTCATCCCCCATAGTAATTCATCCCCCATATAGTAATTCATCCCCCATAGTAATTCATGCCCCATAGTAATTCATCCCCCCATATAGTAATTCATCCCCCATATAGTAATTCATCCCCCATAGTAATTCATCCCCCATATAGTAATTCATCCCCCATAGTAATTCATCCCCCATAGTAATTCATCCCCCATATAGTAATTCATCCCCCATAGTAATTCATCCCCCATAGTAATTCATCCTCCATAGTAATTCATCCCCCATATAGTAATTCATCCCCCATGTAGTAATTCATCCCCCATAGTAATTCATCTCCCATAGTAATTCATCCCCCATATAGTAATTCATCCCCCATAGTAATTCATCCCCCATAGTAATTCATCCCCCTAGTAATTCATCCTCCAT